GGTCAACACATTTTACGACTCGCAAAGACAATTCTTTTATACTTATTCTACATCGAAATGTCTGATATCTTAGAACCCCAGAAGAAAAAGTATATATATTTTTAAGAAAATGGATATTTTCTCTACATAAATGCACTGACATTGAAATTACATTTCTATTAATTTATATTAAATAAATTATTTATTGTAGAAGACGCATTCCTTCGTGAGTTACATCATCTCATGTTGAGCTACATATTTTCTGTAACTGTGTCAGTGAAATAGGATACACATTTTCTCGAGAATAGGAAATACTGATGGACGATGAAAGAGGGTTTGTTTTCACTTTTAATTTTTCAAATTGCAGGTACCAGGCGGCAGAGAGGAAATTTTATAGATCCCGGATGTCGACTTGTGTCGTCAAGAACCTCCCGAATGCAAGCGACTACGCCTACAAACGCAGAGACAAATTAATGAAGGAGAAACGCAAAATAAATGTTAGATTGGGAGAATCAGTAGTTTGCAGTTAATTACAACCACGATGAACACATTAATTTTAATTGATTTCCTTATGAAAATAATGTACAAATTTGAATTGATGTAGGAGCTACAAAAAATAAAAAGAGAAATATTGTTTGCAGCAAAGAAACGACGACGTCGACGCCAGCCGCCATAACAGCTCGAGACTGTTCCTATGATGTCACCAGAGATGTTAGTGCGAGCAGAGCGCGCTTATTTCAAATCGTTCAAAAGATAATTCGGGTGGCGGCATTACCTTAAATGCAGTGATTCCCCCACCCCCTCATTTCTCCTGTTATTAAACTCTGAGATTCTGATCGTTTGTGACGGATATCAGAAGTAATTTTAAGCATTTGTTTCAATTTAGCTGAATGTAAGAGTACACAATATTCATATTACTTGAAAAAGAAAATAACAATGCGAAGTAGCGTAACATAGACTTGGAATGACTTAATATCGATTTTAGACAATCGGAACCCCAGTGTTCTTGGACAGTGACTTCAGACGAAATTAAGGCCCTTGGAATGTTTGAAGGAAGGATGACTAGAAAAATCCGTGGTCCCATAAATGAAGGAGAAGCTGGAAAACGAAACTAATAAGGAGATAGAGGATGTATTACATTGCAAAATTCATAAAATCTCTGAAAGATGGCGTGGACATAAGTGAAGAAGGAAGAGATGAGGCTGAAGAGGATTTGAAAATCATGGGAATACGAAATTGGTATAAAGGGGCTAAGGACCTTCAGGAATGGAGGGAAAATGCACTAAAAGGCAAGGTCATCAACGACCCTAGGGCTTGAATCTAAAAAAAAGAGTTGTCAAATGGCAGAAGTTGTAAAGGATGCAGAGGGAATTGGTTGTGGCCTAAATTTAGGTACAATCCCTGAGGGAAACGAGGACAAAGCCATCATAATTGCTGCTCTCTGAGCCAAGTTTCTTGCCCATAACCTCCGGAATAAAAAGAATGAATGCTAATCAACTGATCACGATGTTTGTTGTAATCAGGCTTTGGCTTATATTAAACACATCGCCCGTTTAATTACATTGTGAAACAAGGATTTTAAGCATTATTTTGTGCATATATTATAGCTTTAACATAATATTCATAATAGTAGCCTTCCCATGAATAACAAGAGGAAATTTCCCTTTTATAAATGCGTGTAGGCAACCGGGCAGCACATGCGAAATGGATTCCTGGAGGAAGAAGAAGAACCCATAAAATCTCAACCTGGAATTTCAGAGGACTAATGGCTCCCGGAAAGCTCTACACAGTCTTACGTGAATTGGTTAGATACAGCATATCGATTGCTGGTTTAAGTGAGACGCACTGGAGGAATAATGGTCATTTTCAATCTGATAATCACTGGGTTTATTTCTCAGACAGCGCTGAAATCAGCCGCAACGGAGTCCATAATGAGATTACTAAAATGTTAAATAAATATGTCAAAGGCTACAACCCAGTGAACGACCGAATAATTGCTCTTAAAATTAAGGCAAAGCCGGCTATCATAAATATATTTCAAGTCTATGCGCCAACATCAAGTGCAGAAGATTTGTTACCAACATCTGCTATTCCAAATCGTGAGGTCACAATAGTCATGGGTGACTTTAAAACACAGAAAGGTTAGCACCTAACTATCTATTTTTGAGAAAAACAAGTTAAACAAAATATTACATCAATTAAGAAACAAATAATATAATATTGTATCGGTAAGCAAGAAAGAAATAGTCACGTCAAAATCAATATGGCGGATTGTTTAACAATACCAATGTCCAAATAGATCTCGAAGCTTGAAGCTAATCCTAGGACGGAGGCGAAAATTTGAAGAGGCCAGGGTTCAACTTTGAACTGCAGCGCCAAGAAAGAAAAAATCTTGTGGTGGAAAGCATAGATTGCGAACGAGTTGTTTATTATCTACGTTCATGATTTGCATTGGTCAGCTTCGGTTTGTTATTGCATCCATTCTGTAGAGTTAGATCTTTCTCTCTTGTCTTCCTGTGGTTCCAAGTGATAAACTTTCACCTTCATTACTCTGATTTCAGAGGTATCAAGTACCTTCGAAAACTTCTACCAGGCGGTATAATCAGAAGATAGCCAGCCTTCTTTGTCGTACTAACCGCCGTTTTTAACCTTAAATCATATTTCTATCCTAGTGTTGGTGTTATGTTGGTTACACAGATTGGCTGCTACTCTGTGGACCCGCCAATGCTAAGGTCGTTTGGTTGGCATCATAGCTGTTCTACATGTGTAGGCTTAGTAAGAGTGTATGTATGTATGTATGTAATTTATTACGCGCCGGTTTGTGCTTCATTTTCAAAATATCGGTGAATAATGTCAGACGACTCGCCATATATAGCAGAATACGCCAAAAGCGGCCGTGCAACATGTAAAGGATGTAAATCTTCTATTGAAAAGAATTCACTGCGTTTGGCCGTTATGGTTCAGGTAGGAATTTACAATATAACTGGCTTCCGCCACATTTAAGACTTTACTTAGAGGTGTCGTATAATTGATCCATAAACATATAACGTACAAATAGTAGTTAAGGAAAATAAATGTTTA